CACGCCTGCTTTCCTCTGGCGCACCCCATAGAGGGCTAGCAGCGTTAAAGTCCCCAGCGATTATCTTTTCCTAGTCGGAATCATCATGACTTGTTCCAGCTCCTGGAGTGCAGTGACAATGTCGTGCGAAGGAGGAAAATACACGCTGGTGATGGCACGCTCGGCAGCTGGTGGGCCTTGAAAGCCGGACTGGACTGAAGGAGATGAAAGCTACACTGGAAGAGAAGAACGCCGGACTAGAAGAAATAAATATCGGCCAAGAAAAGGTGCGAAAGCAACTCCCACAGATGAAAGTGAAGCTTACAGAAAAAACTAGAGCCATAAAAGATGATGTGGAAATGACTGAAGTGGCGTCTGAAGTACCAAAGAATGGAGAAATGAAAGAAGTAGCTAATGAACTGTCTGAGGAAGAACAAGAAATGAAGGCTGAAACATTTAACGGGATTAAAGGAAAAGAACGAAAACATGAAGAAATAAAAGACGGGAAAGAAGATTTTGATTCTCAAGTGCCTGAAGTGGAAGAAAATGAAAATGTGACTGTTAAATTCGTCAAAACTGATAGTGAAATTACCAAACCGCAGTAATGTACAACTTACGAAGAGTGCTTCAGTATTGAGAGAAAATTCACCCATTTCGCAAACTATGTCTCGCGACCCTGGTGCAAACATCGGAGCTGGTTTCCAGGAAACGCTAGAAAATGAACATGGACCAGCTGCTGAAAATACCTAGAAGAACTGTACACATGATGCGAACAAACTACAGACTGGTGTACAAACTGTTTCACATCTTCCTGTAGATGACACGTATGAAAGGACTATATTTTCAGATTGAGATATGCAAAACATAAATGCATCTGAGAACTGCAGTGAAGAAGTATTTAACCCGGGTATAACTTAAGGAAAAGACTGAGACTGAAATTCATTCTTAACTTTAATTTTGTATAATTTAAAATTGTGATCTGCTTAATTTGTGTATGTAACTTGTACATAGTGTAAATAATATATGTTCCTTTAGTTATGTTATTTATTTATACCTTATGTTTGTTTCATTGCGTTTTGATTGTATCGAATTTGGCTTCTAACCAAGAGTTGTACTGCCCGGGATGTGCAGTCCTTGGGAGGGGGCAGTGCTACAAAATGTCCAGGAGCGGTAAGATGGCTTCCCCGCAAAGCAGTTTTAGGGTTTCCATAAAATGGCAAGATAAGGCAGGGTTGCAACATTTGGCGACAAAACTGACGATATGCCATGGATGGATGGAGAACATTCTGGAACGAATTCTTACCAGTTTAGCCCAGAATGTTCTCGAACACAAACCAAAAACTATGCTGTGAGTGCCTAGTTAGTTAGTCCGTGCGGAGACGATCGAGTTGACAGCCGGCCAGCGAGTGCCGAATGGGTCGTCGAGTGCATCGAAAAGTCTCTTAGTGTATCGCGGTTAGTGCATCGTCGAGAGAGTGTGTTGAGCTTCGGGAACGACTGAACCGAAGAGTCTCTTAGTGTATCGCGGTTAGTGCATCGTCGAGAGAGTGTGTTGAGCTTCGGGAACGACTGAACCGAAGAGTCGGGAGCTGTGCTCTGTGTATCGTTGAGTGCATCGCGAGTTGTAGCGTGGAGAGTCTCGAGAGTACGTGGAGTTCCGAGAACGACCAAGCAGAATCGGGAGCTCTACTCTGGTGCTTTGCAGTGAAGCTGTCTCGACCATTATAGCCTGATAGTGCGAAGGCTGTGTCGCTGATTGTGTCAGCGTGTTCTTCGACGACTGTAAAACGTGACTTTGGAGCTGTCCTGATTAATACCGGCCAATAAAGAATGTTTCGTTATTCTATTATGTCGTCGTTATTCACTCCAAATCCACACAAACCCCGTACGAACGTGAAGGAAGAAAATAACGTAACAACTGGTGTCAGGAAATAACGTAACAATAATAAGCGCTCGCTTAACTACTATGAACAAAACAACTGTATGTAATATGAAGAATTGCTGACGCAAAGCAAAAACAAAAATATTCCTACTACAAAATAAATGTGTATAGAATAGCCATAAAACAATTAGAAATATTATACTGTTAAAAATTCCTTAATTAGGCCTAGAATTGCTAATTAATGAGCAGACGAAAAATCAGGCAAATGCAACTGCAATTTTCTCTAAAAGGTGTGTTTAAAACTGTTTAAAGGTAAATTCTTTTAGATACGTTAAGGCAACTGCAACAGGTGCTGTAGATGAGCCATGAATCAATATACACTGGTGTGCAAAAATTAAGGACGAAGTCGAAAAATTAGCATATCAGCTGAACGAAGAGGCAGAGCGGACAGAAAGACCAATCAGGAGATTAAGTAAGGTGATGTACGGTAGCACATGCGCAGATATGCAAGTAGACGTAATGGGGGAGCGTCTAAGTAGTATAAAGCATGTTGTTGGTGTAAGATCAGTATTTCTGGCAAAGAGATTCCACGCCGCATAGCAGACACCGAGTTGCTGCCTCAGCGAGAAATGGCGAATAATCAATCTGTTAAACGACATCTGGATGCTTTTACCCGAGGTCGAATCATTGGGAAGTTGGAGGAAGGCCGCAGTGTGACAAGTGTGGCTGCAGAGTTCGGAATTGCTCACAGCATCGTTTCACGACTTTGGAGACAATTTCAAACTACAGGAACAGCTATCCGGGGGTTTAGTAGTGGTCGTCCACGAGGAACCACACCCGCAGATGACCGGTATATTGCCTTACAGGCCAGAAGAAACAGGCGGCAGACAGCGGGAGAAATCGCTAGACACACGACACAGGCGACTGGACGACCGATATCACGTTTTACCGTGGGGCAGAAGACTGCACGGTGGTGGTCTGTTTGCACGACGCCCTGTACGGTGTGTACCTCTAACGCCTGCCCATCGGAGAAGGCGTTCTCTGTGGTGCCGGGAACACTGGAATTGGAGAGACAATGGATGGGGACGAGTACTCTTTACAGATGAGAGCAGATTCAGTCTGAGTAGCGATTTTCATCGCATACTCATCTGGAGAGAGCGGGGAAGCCGCAATCATCCCTCGAACATCATTGAAAGGGACAGGTATGGAGGTGGCAGTGTTCTCGTTTGGGGAGGCATCATGCTTGGTAGTCGTACAGACCTTCACATCTTCGACGCAGGTTCAGTCAACGGGACCCGTTATTGTAACGAGATTCTTCTTCCATATGTGCGTCTTTTTAGAGGCGCTATGGGTCCGCAGTTCCTTTTCATGGACGACAATGCACCATGTCATCGCACAGTAGCTGCCGAACAGCTCTTAGTGAGGATATTGAACGTATGGATTGGCCGGCACGATCTCCGGATCTCAATCCCATCGAGCATGTGATGGGATTTTCTAGGCAGACGCTTGGCAGCTCGTACCTTACCACCAGTAACGATTCCGGAGCTTCGATTGGCGCTGCAAGACGAATGGGCAGCAATGCCTCAACAACTCATTGACACCCTCATTCTCAGCATGGGCAGAAGCTGTGAAACCTGCCTAGCCAGTCAGGGGAGATCATATCCCCTATTAAAGACCGGATGTTTCTTGCTGGACACCCATCACAGGGATGTTTCGGCCTTCAGTCGCATTGCGCTCCATGCTACTTTTTCAATAAAGCTTCTTTTTAATCCCTCTGATTTCTCTTTTAGTAAGTGTTGCTTACATTACTCATGTCCTTACGTATTGGGGATCGGTATTAAATGTGTTGATTTGGAAAGCTTTTGTACGAAGTTATATTGAAAAAAACCGTCTCGTCCTTAATTTTTGCACACCAGTGTATTTGACTAGAAGATCTTCATTTAAGAGAAGTTAAGTTTTCTTCACTAGATGCAATTTTTCGTACTTTTATATTAAGGTGACCAGACGTTTTGGCGGGCAGTCCCGATTTTTAACAATTTGTCCCGCGACGTTTCAAAGAATTCCCGATTTTTGGAAGCACGACAAAATATATTGTTATGGCTATATATACACTGTGATCGTTGAAAAAGAATCTTCAAAAATTTGGCTAGAGTTTGTACACAATCAAGTAGCTTTCTTCAAAATGCTATAAAACGTATTGCAGGTGACAAAGTTTCAGTAATCAAAGTAGCAAATAAAGTTAATAATTTAAAATTTCAGTGTCAAGAGCAGTTAGAAAATAATTTTCTTCCGTTAACTTTCCGTACTAATATAAACCAGATAGAAGAACAAGGTGGAATAAATTGTGCAGATATCATGAATCACATTAAAAAGTTCTATAGTAACTGTATATATTATTTAGAAGAGTGGACGGTACATTACAATGACACTAAACATTTATTTTTATTGGGTTACATTAAAACAAGAACTTAATTGGAATGATGTGCAAAAACCATTCGATCATATTACTCAAAATTTTCCATATAGCAATATTTCCGAAAATGACCTTTTTAATGAGGTACATTATTAAAAAAATTGTATATCGATAAGGAAAAGGTTAAATCTTGGGCATCAGCAAAAATCACACTAAACAAATGGTTACAAATATTTCATCATTTTGAAACAAACCATGTTCCCTACAATAATGCACTAAAAATTGTGGAATACGCTCTGTCCTTACCAGGAACTAATGCTGCGACTGAACGCGTTTTTTTCTGCGGTAAAATAAAGTATGGACATCAGAAAAATCACAATTAAGTGTTGACACTTTAAAAGCCATTTTATATGTGAAATATAATTCAGCAAATTCTTGTGAAAAGTTTCATGACCTTTTTAAACAGCGACAGCAGTTTAATAAAAAAAACATTCACTCAAATGAGAAGTATGCCAAATAATAAAATAATACTATACATAATTTTTTAAAGTATAATATTTGTAAATTGTACTTATGCTTAAATGTAAAAATATATATTGCAATACTATTTTTGCGTTCTATGAAAATTTTAGTTGCAACACGTAGACCAAATTTTGAATCAAGAATCCCCCTTCCGGTCAATGGTGTCCCGCTTTACCAATGTTAAAATCTGGTCACCTTATTTATAAACACCGTTCTTTAAGTTTATTTTTATTTTTAAATTACTGTCATAGCTATATTTTCCTAATTTTAATTATAAACAGCAAGCCTAAGCACGGTTTCTGCATTTATTGATTATTATTTATTCATTCTGTGTATAAATTAGTACGCGCTGAAAAGCATTTTTAGAAGTGCATTTCATTTATTTTTTGTTTAAATTGTTATTTCTGATAATCTCCAGGGTCATCCCATTCGGACAGTTTATCGAGAAGAGAGAGATGGGTATTCACCACCAGCCTGATTGATATCTCTGGGTCACCTTTTGTCCCTTGTCCTTCATGGTGCTGAAGCCGCAATGAATTAATGTTGGCAATTAATTTCCTTCCATTTTCTATGATGCAGGATGTGTGATTGTGACGCAATATACGCTAGCCATCAAAACCTAAGAACAAAAGATAAAAAACATTGTACGTAAAATATGAGTTAAAATAGCACGCCGAATAACGATTATTAAAGGAGTTAAAGCAACAAGAATTAGCGTATGAATTCAGCTTTTACAAATATTAAGCTGGTTCTTGTTGTTTTAACTCTTCCAATAATCTAAAAATATTCGATTAAAGAGTAATGATTTTCATATAATTAGGCAGTTATTGGTTTGGTGTAAATAACGCAAACAAGAGCGAAAGAGACATCAAGAAATTCAACTAAAATACCGATGAAGGGCAAAAATCTTACATTCTGATGAACGAATACATAGTCTTTATGATATATGGTTATAATAGTCAAACAATTTTTTGCATAGAAAACAATGCTTCAAATAAATTAATAAGCATGTTATATTTTTTAATTGATGTGATAAACGTATATAAATCATTCTTCTTACTCTAGCTGTGTGTGCCGGTGAGTATGAACGTGCAGTACAAAAATCAACTTTGTATGATACAAGTAACTTTATTTGAATACAGCACCAAACACTTTCTTTTGACTACATTAATAACTGATTTTAACAGAAAAAAATTTCAAAAAGATGAAAAAAAAAAAAAACTAATGATCTTTACGAAAGACAGCTGGATTGGATTATTTGGATTACGACAAAACACACGAGGGCTATCTGCCTAAAAGAATGGATGCTTTCAAGGAGGCCTTTTTTTGAGATAAATGGTTCTTGCTCAACTTACGCACCAGGAAAACGATGAAAACTCCAAAGCAACGAGCCCGTTTGCCGGATTTAAACTCGAGTCGAACTACCAGTGTTCAGCGATAACGATCTTTACAATAGAGTAAAAAGCTTTTCATTCAATTAATTGTCAAACGTAGTAGCTTGAAAAATAAGACCAGTGACTTTTATTTACTTTTAATTTATACATATGCGAAAAAATAAGAAACAAATTCAATAGGTCACTGGAGAGAAAATAAAATCGAAATGCTGAAATTATTTTAAAATAAATTGGCAGCTCACCAGAGGTTTTGGGTGAAACGGTTAGAGCTTATATGAGAATCAGTATATAGAGTTCATTTTTTACATTTCTTAATTAATTCATTAGGTACGATCTGGAGAAACAATGCTTTTTTTTCCAGTACAGATTAAAACTATTCGTATTAATGTTGTTAGCCAGTAAAAGTTGTGTACATCGTTAACGTACAGTGTTGACTATGTATATGTTTTTTTCTGTTTAGCGGATAGCGACTGACAATTCTAAAAATGGTATTCGCCATGTCTGTAATTCATAGAAATGCAGTAATTTTTCTTTTGCTTATTGCACTGGAAAATATCCCAGAGCTCATATTTTGAAATATTAAGATAATTAAATTTACGAATATTATAGAATATTACGAATATTGCATTGGTATTTAAAAAATTAACTTTTTATTGCTAACGAAACGCGTAGCAGATTGATATTTAAAAGTATAACTATCAAAAGTAATTTCTTATTGAAACATGGGCCAAACAGCCACGTAATAACTTGCGAGCCGTAAGTTTGGTCGTGCCTTTCACACCGCATTCATTTCCAGTTTCATCTTTAACCAAGACAACTTAGTTTCAGGTAGATGAATTATAAAACAGTATCTGGAAGTAAAGTAAAGTTTTGAATTCTTGGAGCCTCTGAGCAGGGTATTAGAGGTCAGCATTAAACAGTACACATATTATATGATATTAAATTTGAGACTAATCAGGCCTTGCAGGTATTTGTAAATTAAGAAGCGTTAGAACAATCTACACTAGTTATATTAAAAGTGATATTTTTAATGCGTTTTTTTTCTTAGAATCTGTTCTGAATTTTGAAATTTCTCTGCAGTTCAAATAAATCTTTTTGATTATAATTAAACGAATTTTTTTAAACAGTTTAATTTTTTTTAATTTAGTAAAATTTAAGCTCAGTTTAATAAATTTATATAATAATTAATAATACATAGTACTTCAAAATTTCGTATATAATAACTTATAAAATACAAATGAACATGTTTTTGAAAAAGTTGGTTTTTTGTTTTGGTAAGACAGAGTTTTCGCTTTCCGTATTTGCTTTTTAGAAAATGCCCATCTTAGTAAATATTAAATTCATAAAGGACATAAAAATTTTATAGGCATATAGGAGCAATACTTTTTGTTAAAAGATTGATCAAAACATAAAAAAAAAATCATATTCCCCTCTTCTCACCAAAACAAAAAATAGGGTCGCACAATTTTGCCCCTTTACACTGACGTAGCCCAATGCAGATGTTTATGTAAAAATGGATTTTTCTCTATTTTTAAACTTTGAGGTTAAAATTAAGGTATTCCTGGAAAACTAATGAATGAATAAATTTTAAAACACGATAACATCAAACTGATACTTTTGAAAAATTTGAGGATCCGACAACCTTTAATTTCAAGCAGTAAATGCATCATCATTTACTAAAATTAACATTTCTCCGAATGATTCAATGTAAGGACAGAGTAGGGACAAGTAGGGACAGAGGTCGCATAGAGATATAAAAATTTTACTCAAGTCACCGAATTTTAAGGAAGACACGAGGATTGGGTTCAGTGATTTCAGTGGCTTCTTGAAACGGCGGACTCTCACCATTAGAAAATAATCATCCGTTATAATTGTACGACGAAAGAAGAATGTTACATAGGAAAGAATATATATAGAAAAGGATGGCAAAATATTTTGTTTTATCTCATAACGAAATATCTAAAAAACTAAAAATAGCATTGTTTCTCATTAATAAAAAATTATACTGTTTTACATGCAATATAGAAATAACATATTTTTACTATTACGTATCTATGTACTAATGTACTTTTACATTCTTCATCACACAGAAATTGGAACTTTCAGAATAGACTATATGCTGAGAAAATAAGACAATTTGAACTTTAACATTTCATTTAGAATTCTATGTATTATTCTCATTATTATTAGTTATTGTTTTGTTATCTATCTATTATTGTATTATTTTCATTATGTTTTTTATATTAATTGTAGTATTGATAATTATTATTGTAGTTGATAAGTAAGTATTGTATAATATTGATTACTTAGATTTAATTGATGAACTTGCAGTTCATGGGGGCCAGGATATTATAAATTGATAGTTTGCGCCGTTAGGTGGCGCTCCGAACGTCTTGTCTCTGTTGATATTCTGTAACTTTAGTTTTGATGGAAGAACGAAGGTGTTAAGCCTAATAACGATGAAGGTGTGTGCCTAATAATAATGCTTGTAAACCAGTGTATTATAATGTAAATAAAATGTGTATGTATTAATAGCGAAGAGGATTATCACTTACCTCTGGAGTTAATGCTCTCTGATGGTAACAGAATTAGTTACTGCAAGCTGCAAATGTACTGCGATATCCTTGACACTGTACTGCGGTATCCTTGTCATTTCTTAAAAAACAGTTCATCTCAATGTATAATAGAGGTATTTTGAGATGAATAGTATGTCTCATATTCTGAAATAAACTGTATCGTTATGTTAGGTATATTTATTCCGAGTGCACTTGAAAAAGTAAAAAGCTCCCCCCCCCACACACACACACAAAATGGTGATCCTGAATATTTCGTGAATATAATCGTGAATACAGTAAAATAATATCGTAAATAATATTATTTCTCCGTTAGATACTTTTTTCAATGACAAGGATTTGTTAATAATATGAGCTGCACTACCAGGTTGTTCAATAAGTTCGCGGAACGGAAATGAAGAAACCAATTTTTATTTGTAAAAATGACTTTAATTTTCAACGTAGTTTCTCTCAACTTCAATTCACTTCTATCTATGGACCAACGGTCTTCTAATCTATGGATCCCTTGACTGTAGTGGTTTTTCGGCAGCTCTGCAAAATATCCCTCCACAGCAGCTATTACCTCTTCGTTTGAAGAATATCGTTTTCCACGGACATATTGTTTGAGGTGTGGGAAGAGCCAGAAGTCGGAGGGAGCTAAATCTGGCGAATAGGCTGGATGTTGCAACAATTCCTACTTCAATTCAGTTATTTTAGCAATGGTTTTTTGAAGCTGTGTGCGCAGGTGCATTATCTTGGTGGAAAATGAGTTTCTTCTTCTGTAATCCTGGGTCTTCTTTCACAAATTTTTTTTTCGTCTAATTGATTTAAAAGGTTACAATAATAATCTGAATTAATTGTTTTGCCAGTTTGAAAGTAATCTATAAACAAAATTCCTTTCGCATCCTCAAAAAACTGATGCTAACACCTTTCTTGGACTGATTTTTGCACACGAACTCGCTTCGGCGCCGAAGAGCCAGGTTCACACACTCCTTAGCCTCCTGTTTTGATTCAGAATCATGATGGTAGACCCAAGTTCTCATCCATTGTGATAAATCGACGGATAAAGTCGCTTTTATTCTTCTTAAAACGCTCCAAATGTTGCTGGCAAAGTCGCATCCGAATGTGTTTTTGCTCCATCATTAGAGAATGCGGCACCCATTTTGCACAGAGTTTTTTAAACCCAAATTAACACTCAAAATATTGCTCAGTGTGCCCAATGAAATGCCTAAAGCCTCTGTTAAATCTCTTTTCAGTCAATCGACGGTGTTTTGGCCTCCTCGGTGATTGCAGTGATTTGTGCCCAGAGGGCGCACCGCACAAAGAGTTAGTTGCGTTACAGAACGTAAGGGAAGCGGACACGCCAAAATGTCGGGCGTATTACCGCTAATTGAGGTAATTGCATCGTATCTGTCAGGTGGCAGAAAGCTAGTATGATGTATCAATTCACATGCCAGGTGGCAGAATATGTCTATCATGTACATGCCAGGAGGCATAACGCTTGTAAACATGCCATGTGGCATACGACTTGTAAATAAATTGTAAATAAATGTACAGTAAAATATCTTGGTGCAATAGATCAAGGAACATGCATCAACAACGTTCTGATCATTTGGATACGTACAGACGGTCTTCCAATACCATATGTTGTATTTTTCCGATGATTTCCGGTG